CATATACTGGCGAAACAAGTGCCTTTTCAAGAAACATGGGAATGCCCAGAGTGTTGTACAGAGTTATCCAAAGCCAGTGGTGGACAAGGATCAGGCAGATTCCAAACTATATGTCACAGGTGTATCTTAGGAACCTGGAGGGGCCAGCGCTGTGGCTCACTAGGTTAATCCTCCGCCTGTGGCACCGGCATCCCATATGAGCACTGGGTTCTAGTCCCGGTTGGGGCGCCGGGTTCTAGTCCTGGTTGCTCCTCTTCCAGTCTAGCTCTCTGCTGTGGCCCAGAAAGGCAATGGAGGATGGCCCAAGTGCTTGGGCCCTGCAGCCGCATGGGAGACCAGGAGGAACCACCCAGCTCCTGGCTTCGGATCAGCGCAGCGCGTGGGCCGTAGAGGCCATTTGGGGAGTGAACCAACGGAAGGAAGACCTTTCTCTCTGTCTCTCTCTCTCACTGTCTGTAACTCTACCTGTTCCAAAAAAAAAAAAAAAAAAAAACCCAAACCAAACCAAAAAAACACAAAAACCTCTCTCTGTGTGTGTACCTCTAAAGAGCAGAGCTTTAGTATAATATATTCAATAATTACAAATAATTCTCATGGAAGGATATCAAGAGTTATTAGAGGCTTTTGTTACTTAAAAACTTGAACCCTTGGTATATGTACATTTCTATGCCTGGCTCAATGTCTGGTCCAGATGTTAAAGTATATACTAAATTGGTTGCTAAAATGCAGTAATTCACAAACACTACAAAAATGATAAAGGAATACTTTGAACATTAAGTCTCTGAAGACGGGAGTATCAGATAATTATGCATTAATAGCTGCTGGGTTTCTTTTCAGTAAATTTAATGTATTCATAGCAGCAGTTTTGTTATACTAAATAATTGAAACAGTGAGAACTCTATTTCCCTATCCATTAGAGAGTAACTGGTCTATACATTTAAAACCCACTGCACATTTACAGAAACAAAACCAACAATACAACCTTGTAGTTCAGAAAGGCACATTATGTAATTAATCTTTTTTCCCAAGTTCAGAATATGATCATTTCTCCCCCTGAGATGCTTTATTTTCACTTGTTCCCAGGTACTTGGAAATCTTTTCACAAGCGGGCTTAACTCTGAAATTCCTTATTGTGTTAATATCCAACTTTTTTTTTTTCCCCTGAATAGGCAAAGGCAGGAAAAGGGTGCTGAGACAAAAGACATGCTTTATAATAAGTCCGGGACATTTTCATGGTTGAGCAATGAAATAATAACTTGTTTTCATTCTCTGTTCTCTGTTCTCCTAGAACCTCATCTTTGTGTTTTTACAAGCCACGGCCAGCACTGAATAGCTTTCCCGATTTTTTTTTTTTTATCAGTACATCTTTCATAGACTTACTCATTCATGGTCATGTTAAATACAGAGAGATAATGCCCTGGCAACTCTCCTGGATCCAATTAGATACATTTGGAAACTATTTGTTATAAATGATATACATATCATATCTGCAGTTGTTTTCCAAAGTTTTATATATTGAGATTAATGAAAAATTACTGAACACAGAACACCAATATATATATGTATATATGTAGATTTAAAAATTATACACATGTACTAAAAGCTTAAGTCACTACTTTTTTTTTTTTTTTTTGGACAGGCAGAGTTAGACAGAGAGAGAGACAGAGAGAAAGGTCTTCCTTCCATTGGTTCACTCCCCAAATGGCCACTACAGCCGGAACTATGCCGATCAGAAGCCAGGAGCCAGGTGCTTCCTCCTGGTCTCCCATGCGGGTGCAGGGCCTGTACAAGTACTTGGGCCATCCTCCACTGCCTTCCCAGGCCACAGCAGAGAGCTGGACTAGAAGAGGAGCAACCGGGACTAAGGACCCGGTGCCCATATGGGATGCCAGCAACGCAGGCGGAGGATTAACCAAGTGAGCCATGGCGCCGGCCCCCTAGCATCTCTTGTTGAAAAGACTAGTCTTTCCCCATTAAGGTGTCTTGGTACTTCTGTTGAAATTCAAATGACCATAATCACAAGAGTTCATTTCTGAATTCTCAATGCTTTCATTGATTTATACATCAGACTTTTGCTAGTTTCACACTGATGATTTTCAGGTTGTAGCAATTTTAGCAATAAAGACCGTGAGGCCTCCAGTTTGCTGTGTTTGAGATGGTTTTGGCTATGCTAACTGCTTGCTAATTCCAAATGAAGTTTAGCATTAAACTGTTGATTTCTGCAAAAAGGCAGCTGGGCTTTTGATAAGGATTGTGCTGAATCCATATATCAATTTAGGGAGTACTGCCATCTTAACAAAAAGTTTTCCAAACCATTAATACAGTATATTTTTTCAATTAAGAAAGATCTTCTGTAATTTATTTCAATGATATTTTATAATTTGCAGTGTACAAATCTTAAACTACTTTTGCCAAATTTGTTCCTAAGTATCTCCTTTTGGGGATGACACTGTAAGTGGAACTGGTTCCTTAATTCCACTTTCAGCTTATTCATTACTAATGTATAGAGATGAATTGGATTTTATATATTGATCTTATATCCTCAACATTGTTAGATTAAATTTATCTCTGTGTGTATGCATGCATGTGTGGATTGCTTGGGATTTTTTATATACAAGATCTAGTCTTGTATTAAAAGATAGTTTCACTCCTCCCTTTCTCTCTCTCTCTCTCTTTTAAATCATTTTTCTTGCCCAATTGTTCTGGCTAAAATCTCTAGTACACTGTTGATGAGGGTGAATATCCTCATCTTGTTACTGCTAATAGAGGAAAGATATAGTTTTTTACCTTTAGGTATGATATTGGCTGTGGGTATTAATCTACAAACACCCAATTGAAGAAGTTTCCATCTATTCCTAGTTGGTTGAGATTTTTCATTTTAATCATGAAAAGGATTTGGGTTTTATCAAATCCTTTTTCTGTGTCTAATGAAAGTATCATGTGTGGTCTTTGTCTTTTATTATGTTAATTTTCAGATGTTATAATAACAACTATTTCTAGACTAAGTACCATTTGGTCATGAAGTATAATCATTTTTTATACTACTGAATTCAGTTTAATAGTATTTCATGAAGGGATTCTGTGTCTATATTTATAGGAAGCATTAGTCTATAGATTTCTTTTCTTAAAATGACTTAGTGTTTGGTATTAGGGTGATATTGCTTTATAGAGTAAGTTTGGGAAAGTATTACTTCCTTCTATTTTGGGTGTGTGTGTGTGAAGGATTTATGTTCATTTTTTTGTGGATAGTGGAAGTCACTAACACAGCCCTTCTGGGTCTATGTTCTTCTTTGCAGAAATAGTTTTTTTAAATTAATTTTTGAAAGGGTGGAGGGAGGGGGAGGGGGAAGAGGAGGGTGGAAGAAAGAGGGAATCTTCTACCCACTGGTTCAATCCCCAAAGCCAGGAAGCTGAACTCTATCATGGTCTCCCACATGGGTGGCAGGAAGCTAAATGAGAATTGTGAAGTAACCAGAACAAGAAACAGACACTCCTATATGGGATGTGGGCATCCCAATAGCTGGCTGTAACTGGCTGTGCCAAAAGCCCACCCCAGCCCCCTTCAACTATTTGAACAAACTTCTTGTTTGCTTGATTCTTACTGCTGCCCAAGGCAGCTATGATGTCAAATCATCATTACTGGTTTTTTGATAAATACCCAGGTAAAATGTCACTTTCACTGAGCAAGTTCTGAGTTCAGTGAAATAAACACAAGTCCTCTGAGTGGCAGTTTAAAGGGCACTGCAGATGGGTCATATAATGATAGCACTCAGAACTGCCGGGGGCAAGGATTTCAAGTCTGCTCTGCCCCCTCCAACTGTTGGTTTTTAGGAGCACTGCGGACCCGAGGAGTGGGTAGGCACGGGTTCACAGCGAGTTAAATGCCACAAAGCCACAGAGCTTGCTGTTCTTACTAAGATTCGGCTGCTTTTCTTGAATAAGCACCTTTTGTGTTGTTAGAAGCCTTTGGTCAATGATGAGGGTCTGAGGGTCCACACCCTTAGAACAACGCGACACCTCATTCCCCGCACTCATCTGCTCTCCCAGCCCTCAAGTCCTGTATGCGTCTTCTTCACACTTGCCCCTCTTTTCTGTTACCAATCCCCCATCTCCTGCCTGCTGCTGGTCTCTCTCTGCTCTGATTACCAACAGGGAGTGAAGCTTTGTGAGAGCACCACGTTGATGAGCTGGCTCCCAGGCTGAGAGGCTTCTACCAAGCTCACCTTGTCTTCCGCACAAAATTCAGTTTGCTTAGTGTGGCCATCCAGGCTTTCATAATCTCTACCCCCAGCTGAGTTGGGAGCCAGACAACTTGGGTCTGAAGCTAGCGTAGTTCTATGGACTCTTTTGTACCTACTGCACAGAACGTTATAAAATATTATTGAGAACCTACTATATACTGGGAGCTAGTTCAGGGAGATACAGAAAAAAAATGCCTAATTATGATAAATTGCAGCCAAGAACTATGTAAGAGAATAAATTAAGAACATGCCTGAACAAGTACCCTTGAAAATGTTGAAGAACTGCAGAAGTGAATTATTGGGTTTTCTTCTGAGTCTTCCACCTCTAGTACAAGACTCTAACAGGCCAGTAAAATGTTAATGGTGGTAAAATGGTTCTAAGATAGGCTTTCTTCCTCAAACATGAGAATGTCTACATTGATAGAAGGCTGTATAAAGGCCCGCTGGCCTTATAGCATTTGCTTGGTGGAGGACTAACGAATACATATCAAGGGTCTCTGTGAAATGCTTTATGAATCTGCCATTATTAAAACGTGTATAAATTTAAGATAAAATAAAATTATAAAGACATTCATTTTTAATTACTTATGCACGCCAAGTCTGAGTGTTTTCATTTGGACACTGGGTTGGTCGATTTAATGAGAATAAGGAGACTTTAATGAAGGCACTTCTATAATCACACTCTGAAAATATTAATGATTAGTGATACCACACTCTCATCATCAAAAGCAACCACAGAGGTAGAGAAACTGTTCTTACGCTCAGCTTTTAACTGTCCAAGGATGGAATCTTCTCCTCTGCACATGGTTCTGAAAGATGTAGAGAAACAATTAAGGGGGCTTCAAAATGACCACTTTCAATTCCAATGTCTGTGGGTATACCCCTAACCCAAGAAAAAACAGAACAGATGCTTATATAAGAACATTTACAAACATTTTGAAAGCTAAAAATACTACATGAATATCACACTGCTGATGGCCCAGGTAGTTGTTTAATGGTAAAGTAAACTAAAACTGGAAAACACTGATACTATATTTCAGAAAGAGAAGCTATTAAAAAGAGATGGGTTGTGAATGAACTTTCCACCTTAAAAAATTTGGTGACAGCAAAGGTAAAATTTAGAGTATGCAATGGATAAAAATACTTACAAAATCACATTGCTTCCTATGGTGAAAAGGACAAAACACTTAGAATAATTTAGGAATTAACCAAACTATTACCCAGGGCTGTCTTTAAAGTAGGTGAAATTCCTTAAAAGTGAAAGACAGGGCCTCAAATAACTGACTCTGATTTTGTTTCTCAAGACTGTGATAATAGTTAATAGTTGATGAATTATAAAGACTGACGAAATAAAGAATTCTATGCTCCATCTGCTTGCTCTGTGAAAGTAATTAAAAATACAGTTATGCCTGGGGAATGCTGATATTATTAAAATGCTGCCAGCACATAGAGATATTTTTGCACAATGAAAGGTTATAGTTTTGGTTGCTGAACATGTTATTTCATTCAGCTGGTTTACACTCAAGAAAATCATCACAGAAAATAATTATCGTCGACAATATTCCAATAATAATATAAGAATGGTAATTGCAGCAGATAAGATCCAATTAAGTATATGTCAGTGCCTTAAATACTTGAGAAGCTTCGCTTCTCACGCTATAAATCAGATAACATTAGAAATGGATACATCTTCAATCTAAGTGTATAAGCCAAAGCTCTCATACCATAACTAGGCAAAACTACCCTACTGGGAACACACAAGTCTTCAGTACAAACTCCGGCAGATACAAGCTTGAAAAGTCAGCAAGGACCAAGAGGATCCCAAAAACATCCCAGCAAATGGGGCCCTCAGATACTGTAGGGAGGACAGCAGACCCTGTGGAGCTGCCTCTGGGAGAGACCAACCACCTGACCTACACCCCAACCCTGGTTTGCCCAGGGCCTTGCTTACACGGTAAGGGTTCTATGTACAGTCTTGTTTGTCCTTTCCCTCCTCAGAAACAGTTTGAGTAACCAATCAAATGAGAAAAGGCAGGTGGTTCAGAAAAACATGAGAGCCCAAAAAGAAAATATCCAGGATCAAGGCTTTGCTCTGAGCTGGGCCACGGAGCTGGTAACTGGGAGCGGACTCCTGCCCAGGGGGCTCTGCTCACCCCCTCACTTCTGCTTTCCTTCCTGGTCCAGTGACCCAGAGGAAAGGTCAAAGGTGCCTGCCTCTCACCTTCTACGCCCCTCTCTATCCTGCCCCCTACCAAGCTGGAACTGTCGCCCCTTTCCCAGTCCCCCACTGCCACAGCTGAGGCTTCAGAGGAGCCCAAGTGTGCCTTTTTGAGTGAATTAGGAAACTCTGCTTTAAAAATAGCAAGAACAGCACTTGCACATTCCCTAAAATTTGAACAAAAGATGTGTGGGTGAACATAGAATTCATATTCTAGGAGTCAGGAGTCTTCATTTTGTCACAGAGGTCGTTATTAACCAGGCTTCGAGGACTCAGAGTTTAAAGAATCATAACCAACTACACTCAAATCATACCACTTTAGCTTGCTTTCTTTTATCTATTTATCACAAAAACTAGCTTATAACTATTTCATGGCTTAAGGATAAGTTATTATTTTATATGGACAGACAGATTGATAGGCAATGCATTTAAGAGACAGATGAATATTTTTGGTCTTTTATACTTGGCTTGTGGCCTAAGTCCACCAGTCATGATTCCTGGCTCCATCTGAATTTTATCAACTAGTAAAGAGGCTATAATTTAAAAGTAAAATGAACAGATGTCCATTTGTTCAACGCTCCATGGAATGGATGTGGAGACACACTGCCATTCCCCTCACCAGCTCCCGTGCACAGCTCATTGGAAGCCCTAACAGACAACTGAGACTTTTGGCACCTGTAGTTGAAGTGCATTATGGCCTGCAGAGCATTTCCTCCGCCAGTGGAGATGTCTCCTTCAAATCCTGGCAGAAGTGGTATCACAACATACACCCGGTACCTCCGGTTCTCCCTGCAAAAGTCAGACGCAAAGACATTCACCACAAATAGATCCAATATCAGCTGAAAAAATGACAGTCGAGCAGCTCACAAGGTTTTAGAGATTGAGTGAGTGGTTTCCCATGATATATTCTATCACGTTTCAGGGCTTGGGGGTGTTGCCGAATTGGAGGCCAGACTGTGTCACCCAGACTGTCAAAGCACAACCTGATCACTCATCTGAACTTGGCAGGAAGGTGGGAACGGTACTCACTATCTCTACAGCATAATCCTTTGTTTGAAAAAAGCCTTGCCTGGATGCCATGGAAGTGGGGAGGGAAAATGGATTATAACAAAGTTAGGAAAAGATGTTATAGTATTAGTTATGTGTATAACACGCTATAACCACAGTACCTCACTTAGAAGGCAACAAATAGGCACTGAGTTCACAACTGATGGGTAACACAGTCTAGATCTCAGAGACACAAAGATACAGTGGACAGTGCGCTTTCCAATATAGACGTCTAATATTATTGCTTAGAAACTGTGAGATCTCCTTCAAAATGTTACCCTGGGTCTTTTATGAATTCCGGGTGACTGATATTTATTTTTAAATCTCCTGAGCATTTAACACAGTATTTCTTTGCCAACCTTCCCAACTGGTTAATGACAACCTTCTAAGGAAAAGGAATTTTACTTGATGATATTACCACAAAAATAAAGAAAGCATAGTTTCCAATGTTGACTTCACACCTAAAGTCAGACCTTTGGAGACATGTGTCTAAATAGGCGGTACTTATTTGGAATGAAAACTGCTAAAGTCTGTCTCCATTTACACAATATACAGGATATACAGGAAGAAGACAAAGCCTGGGAATGACGGTGGTATCTACTGCAGTCAACCAGTCTCACTAGTAAATCAGAGGTCGAGAGTCACACGAAGATATTGCTACTGGTTACTCATCCAGTCTGGTTCTTCTTGAAATTTTCATAAGACTTAATTTCGAAAACTCATTTTTTCTTTCATGTGATTATCATTAGTACTCTCTGAGGGATCAGATTTCATTACTCATGTCTCTGAACGTCAACGTACAGAATCCAGACATATGGCAAGCGAAGCTCAGGGCAGAAGGGACTGCCAACAGAATGGAATTTGAAGGCCTGTGAGCTTGGCTCGGCACTAAGCAAAGCCTAAGTAGGTTGTTGTAATGGCATGGATTAATCACTAGATGGCAAACACAGTTTGAGTTGGAAAGAAAACAAAAAAATGTAAACTTGTTCAAGTTCTCTGCTTGATAAGGGTGGAAGGCTCATATCCCTAAATGGTAAACAGGCTGTTGGAAACGAATGGAAAGAATATCTAAGCTACTCCCCCACAGCCAGAATTCAGAAGGTCTAATGAATTATATCACACACTCAACAACGGACTCCATTTAGCTTCAACTGCCTCTACAGACTCTTCTTCCACTAGGATCCTCCGGAGCCCCTTCCCCGTGACTGGAGGCGACTGCCCTTAGCAAGGAAGCTCGGCTCATCCGCTCTCAGCCTCTAAGGAATCCTACTTCTTCCTGAAAGGGGACTTCCTCTGTCAAACCATCCCGGATCTTCCTATCAAAATCAGGTTACTGCTGCCTGTGCACCCCCAAGGCCCATGGCTGCACCTCTGCTCAGCCCCCTTCCTGCTTTCCTCAATTGCTGACACACACAGCTGCTGCCTAGGCTGGGTACAAAGCTCCTTTGAAACACGGGCCACATAGGCTGTGTGCAAAGCTCCTTTGAAACATGGGCCGCATGCCTACATATCTTTCTATTTTTGGCAGTGCCTAATATGGGACCCTTGCACACAGGACGCACTCAGTGTTAGGTGCTCAGGGAGAACGGGATCCGGCAGGAAGAATGCTCCCTTCTGGGGAAGCCTCTGGAGGGAAGAGGTTAAGCTGCACAAGACTCTTTGCTTTAAATTCAATTTTGTTGATTCTTTCAGTGGTGAAATACATGTATATAAAATTAGTATTTTCATAGCTTTTAAGTGTACCTTTATGTGGCATTAATTATACTCACAATGTTGGGCAACCATCTCAACTATATTTCTTAAATTTTTTCTTCATCCCAACCAGAAACTCCAGGACTACCAAGTGATAATGACCCTATTTCCCCTCACAGCAGGCACTGGTAACCTCTAGTCTACTTCCTGTTCTAGACCTTGCATGTAAGCAGAATCCTACGGTATCTGTCCTTTTGTTTGTCTCTTATTTCACTTAGCACGACACCTTCAAGGTTCATCCATGTTGTAGCACGTGTTAGAATTCTCTTCCTTATCATGGTTTATAGACATTCCATGGTAGGTATATATCACATTCCCTCTTGGGTGGGCACTTGGGTTGTTCCCACCTTCTGGCAACTGTGAATAATACTGTCATCCGGTGTCTGTCTGAGTCCCTGGTTTCAGTTATTCTACTCAGGACTGGGATTGCTGAGTCACATGGTCATTCTAGGTTTAGCATTTGGAGGAACCACCAAATCAACTACACGTTCTGACAGGTAACATACACCCTTAGTACAAAGTTTAAGAGGCAAAAGACGCTAACTCAGAGAGTGGTAAAAGACCCTCCTTCACTCCGCTGTTCCCAGGCCCTGTTCCCCATCCCCAAGGCCAAGCCCGTTCCCAGTTTTATCCAGGTTCCGTTACAAATAGCCTGTGAATTTATAAGCATATATATGTGTCTTTTCCTTCTACACAATGTTAGAATCTACAAATACTTTTTTGAATGCTATTTTTCATCTTTTTTTTTTTTGCTATTTTTTTATCTTAACAGTAAATCCTGGAAATCCTTTCACATCAGAACATAAAGAATGACTCATTTTTTAACAACAGGGACACAGCATTCTATCATGGATCTGTATCTTCACATGTAAACAAGCTCTTTGGGACTGGCACTGTGGCTCAGTGAGTTAAGTACCACTTGTGATGCCAACACCCCATAACAGAGTGCCAGTTAAGACTCGCAGCTCCTCCGCTTCTGATGCCACATTCTGCTAACGTGCGTGGAAGGCCAGGATGGCTTTGGCCTGGTCCAGATTTGGTGGTTGGGGCCATCTGGGGAGTGAACCAGTGAATGGAAGATTCTTATTCCCTCCCTGTTTCTCTCTCTCTCTCTCTCTCTCTCTCTCTCTCTCTGTCTCTCTGTGTGTGTGTGTGTGTATACCTCTGTGTCACTCTGCATTTTAAATACACCTTAAAATATTAACCACATCTTTACTGAAAGGCATGTAAGTTATTTCTAGACTTTTTGCTATTCAAAATAAAATATTATGATATTTATGCTTATCCACCTAAGTCATTTTTCAGATATGTTGGCAAACTCTTGAAAGTGAAATTGCTCACTCTGGACACCAAACCTTTGTATGCTGTTTGTAAGAGAAGGTTCATTTTATCCTTGTGTGTTTTGAAAGCAAAAATGACTTCAAAATGCCAATCTCTTATGTAGGACATTAATAAATGTCCTATAAACACTATAATGCATTCTTGCAAATTCTGGTTTGCAGAATCCAGAATATTCACATTTTTGATGCCTTAAAGACTCTCTCAGCTTCATACCAAAGCCTTTGCTATGTTACAATGCAGCAGTTTTTCAATATCCTGAATGATGGACATTTTAAACCATGTACAGCAAACTGGCAGAAATGACTTACATTTCCACTGCTGTGCAAAAACAGGTTCTGGAATTTCAAACCATAAATTGCAGTTGAATGTCAGCCAATGAAGAGACAATTCTGTGGCAGTGTGTTCCATCTGCCTCCTTGATCAAATCCACAAAGACATCAGTTCTCAGCCACTGAGGATTCTAATCTCCTTCTCCCACACTGCATTCTCACATCACTAGAGTTGTGCAAATGATAGCAATCCTCTTGGGGCGAGAACCCGAGTCCCACAAGTGCAAAATTGTTTACGGTCTTCAAAGCAAGACAAGAAGTGGTGGGCACCAAGCCACGAAACTACTGATCAAGCAGGTAATTGCTTTATCCACCGCAGCCCAGAACCATTTTATAAAACTGCATTCTCAGGCCTCTTGTTAAAATGTTTTCCTTTCAAAATTCATTGAATCTTATGACAGTAATAAGTGAGATAGCTAAAAACTGGAAAAAATGTCCAACAACCGAGGAATGGCTAACAGCATTGTATGCTACAGCCACTCAATGGGATGATCATTGTTCAGCCACTAAAAAGGATAATTGTGATGGCTTAGAAACAAAAATGCTGTGGTCCCATGTTAAACTGGCCCCAGTACAAAGTTATAATTTTAAAAGAATAGAAATGCTGCAGGCTGGTTCTATGAAACACTCAGGTGATTTACCCCTCCCATGTGTTAAGGTCCTCTGCCCTGTGCCTGAAGATACAAAGCAGGCATTGACCCCAGGGTGGGAAGCAGGGCACACAGATGTCCCCTTCTTAGATGTGACCAAGTGGAGATTCTCTGACCTGAGGCAGTCGTGCAAAAGCATCAAAGTAAGATTCAAGGCAGGGATTGTATCCATCAACCTCAAGCTGGATTCCAGGGAAAACAGCATAAACTCCAACCCCTTTTAAATGTGAGGCTGTGAGAGCTGTGAGGATGTGAGGCTTGCTCCCCTGTGAACCCCAGAGAAACGTGGAAAGTGCGACCACCAGCCCAGGGGATGTGACAGCACACAGGAGATATAGCAGAAAGGCAGCTGTGGAAGAAGCAGGCAGAAGCCCCTAAGTTACATTAAAGTAGATGCCAAACCAGGCCTGGGAGAGCAATACTAAGATCTGCAAGCCCCTTCCCAAAGCCCCAGTGCCCCTTAGAACCTATATCACAGATGGGGATGTGGGGACAAAGGGTGGCAGTGGTAGCACCCTGATACAGAACAAAAAGCATGAGAAATTAATGGATCGGGCTATATTTATCAGAAAGTGCCTAACTAAATTTATCCTTATTGGGTGGAAATGGGATGTGAGCTAGAAATTAGTAGGTTACAGGAAAAGAAAACAAGTTACAATGCAGCAGAAAA